AGAATCATTGGAATTAGTTCCATCTCTTGCTAATTTGGTGGCCGTGGACTACTTTTTAGAACCTGTTTGTGGATGTACCAGCCTCCCTAGGTACTTTGTGAGGAGTACATGATAAAAGTGTGGGGGAAGATTTTGTGAATAGTAAAGCACTATGCAGATGAGTTCAGTTACTAACAAATTATGTAGAGGTGAAAACAAAGATACAGTTTTTTATTTGACATTTAGCACAAGGTACTAAGAAATAGACCCTCTGGCATCTGCTCCACAAAGGCAGGGCATGGCTTTAGGCAAGACTCATAAACACATCAAATTCCTGGTTCTTCAGCTCAAGTCTCATGCTGTCATTAAAGCACTTGGACTTCTTGAATGAAAGGTAATAGAGGCAGTGTGCATATTATCATGGCTCTTATGCATGAAAGAGGACCTTTTATTTTATTTATTTTTGTACTAGAGCTATTGTAGTCATTATAATATTATTAAATAATATTATTTAATAATATTATTAACTATGGGTTTGGTTTTTTTAATTAGTTGGTGATAGTGAGAGAAAACCATGGACCACAAATCATTCCCATTTTGCAAATGGGTAGAAGAAGCTAAATAATCTGTTGAAGGTCACTCAAATAGTAAATTGATGAGCTAGGATTCAACCCAGTTCTGTCTGACTCCAAATCCCACATTTTTCCCACTATGCCTCACTGCCACTAGATCATAGAGCCCACTTGTTTCGTCTAGTAATGTCTAATTGGGGATCTATGAAGATAGTAAAAAAAGTCTATAAACTATTTTTAGTATTTTAAAAATTATAATGGGAAATTTTACATTTAGGTTCAATAAAGGTAGTGTTATGTTAACTGCCCCCATAGTGACCTAACTTGTCAGTTGCTGATTATTTAATTCAGGCAAGAAAACTAATTAAATATTCAGAAATGCTGTTTGTTAGACAAAGGGTTTCAAATACTCAAATACTGAAGCCCACGGAGGGTATATGGGGATCCTGGGGGTGGGGGATTGTAAAATGATTGTGAAATATAGTCTAATTCAAACTGATGGGTCATCAGCTGATCTGGCCTAAGAATGTGCTTTGTTTGGCTCATAATGTGTTTCTTCAATTTGTGAATTACTGACCAGCCTTTAAAAATTAGATTTCACATCAAAAATCAGATTTTTAAAAATCTGTTGAAAATTCAGAAGTTCTGCCAGTGCTGGATCCACATTTACCCATGATACTGACCAGCTGGCCTGGTAGATGGGGCAAGCACTTTCAGTTTACCATCCTCCAACTGGCCGAAGTCATTCCTTTCACTCATTCACTTTACCTAACAGGCACCTATAAACATTTGCGCCGTTGAAGTCTGGGCTAGTTCAGTCTCATTGTTTCTCATTAAACCCATTCCCTGGCTATAACCACTCATATTTTGTACCCTGTACAATTTTTGTGTCTTGGTCTTCTTATGTTGTTATTTTAAGGTCTTTCATACAAACTTGTCTGTTTGGCTCTGCTTTATCTTTGAGAACAGCAACCACATTTCATCAATTCAACAAACACTACTGGCATTGTTTAGGGAGCTAGGAATGCAAAGAAGGGTAAGATGGAGCTCCCACCCTGAGGAGGTCATAGTCTAGGCATATTTCTTTTTAATTCATGAAAGCATCTAGCACCCTGATAAGTACCAAGTGCATGCTCAAGACCTACTAGCTAGTGTATAGTGATTAACAGAATGGGTTTGGTGTCTCAAAGCTCTGGGTTACTTAGAGTGCTGCCTCTCCATTTATTGCCCTCTTAGGCAATTTGTGTAAACGCTTCAACTTCAGTTTTCTTGTCTGTAAAATAGAATAATCATAGTACCTGTGGGGTAAAATAAGGATAAATAACCTGAGGCTCTTAAGAGGTTAGGCACAGTGTTTAACATGTAATAACTGCCAATATATGGTGACTCTTATTACTAGGACTAGACCTGCATGCAGTTGGCACTCACTTGATGCATGTTGAATGAACAATGAATAGGTAGAATGAGCTGAGTATAAGGAATTGTGTTCAAACAGGCAAATAGCTTTCAAGGATGATGGCATCAAAAGGGTCTCCAGCAGGCCTGGAGAACACAGGTTTTTGATGGCTTTGAATGCTCTAGTTTTGATGAGACTAGAAGAAGCACATGATGTGGCAGAATCAGCATCCAAAGTACTTTAAAATGGATTTACAAGTTTACCACTGTGGAAAAACCCCAAGTTGAATATAAGTTAGTATAAGATTGGGATGTGAAGAATAAATCTCTAATAGTCTTACAAGGTGGACTGTTGCTCAATGTCTTGAGAATGTACTCGGGACTTCAGGATTGGCCTGTGGGCTAGACTACCTGATACAGCATGTTGAGATTTCTCTGTGAAGAATCTTTGCAGTTGCTGAGGTGACTGCTAGAATAGGAAAGAGCATTTTCCCAGGGCTTCTAGACCACTTCCTCTTTTTATAGCCTTAAGGGACAGGCAGAGGGAAACTAATTTATTTACTTTTTGCCATCACTGTCTCATTTAATTGTTACACTGATCCTCTGAAACAATTTCCTATACAGATAACAAAACTGAAGCTCAGAGAGATTAAGGGGTATGTGTCAATTCTTGTATATCTTGAAAATGACAGGACTAGGATTCTGGTTCTTTTCATAACTTTGCATAGCCTCCCAAAACCAACCTCACCACCTCTGAGTTTTCATGGTGCCATCAACCCCATCTTTATTCCCACTCCCAAAAGGAAACTCAAAGGCCAGCAAAATGCTGAGTGAATACACACTGCCTGCTTTCTTTTTACTCATTTTCAGCAAATGTTTATTAAGCACCTACATTATGCCTGTCACAGTTCTTATTGTTGAGAATACAGGCTGAAAAAGAGAGATGAGATCCTTTCTCGGGAGGAATTTAATTCTAGTGGGAAGAGATTGAGGGGAACAAAAACACCCAGTAAACCACTAAATGAACAAAATAATTTCAGATAGCAGTGTTAGAAAGGAAATGAAACAGGGTGATTTGACAGGGACTGGGGAGAAGACGGTACTATAGATAAGGTGTTCAAAGAAGGGTTATGGAGGTCACTTTTGAACTGAAGCCTGACTGAACAAAGGAACCAGCCAAGCGAAAATGGGCACGGGGAACATTACAGGCATAGGGGACAGGGAGTTCAGACTTGAGGCTTGACACTGGCAACTGTCAAGGAAAACCACTTCACCTGTAGCCTTTTTTTTTTAATGTAATGCTCATAACAGTGGAGCATGTTTCTGATTTGTAATGTGAATGATAAAACTACATTATTTGACATTATTTTTATGGCCATGGGGCTAGTAATGTTACTACAAGAAAGCTGTGATCTATACAAGTCACGGAAACAAGCTGACTTTAGAAAGAGAGAAGACACAAGAGTTTACATCTGTTTCCTGATAGAGAACCCAGCCTTAGGAGCTACACGCTATATTCAGGGATGGTAAGTACCCAGATATGGCAGAGTGAGCAGGAAGTTCCCAGAAGAAGCCCCAGTCGCACAGACATTGCTCAGACACCTAGGAAGGGAGCCACTGCATGGCGTGAACATTTGTTATGGTGCCGAATGAGATTATTCCCAGGATGTCTTTGGTTATTACAAGGGGTCAATTCTGAAACAACAAAGAAGAAAGTAATTTGTGTAGATAAGTATAAACTAAATTCACAGTATAAAATAAGGAGTAGGAGTAGAGGAATGTCATGAACTCAAACAAAGGTCAAGTGGAATAACTTTTAAAACAATAAAAAATCACTGCCTAGACCTATGTTTCCCAACCTAGAGTTCCTGAAAGTAATAACAGTCATTATAAAGCTATTTGTGGTGTTTCAAAATTATGAATAGAGGCTACACAGGCTATATGTCATTTATTTCATGATCTTTCAGATCATTCTTTTGTAGGTTTATTCAGTTTTTCAACGAAAACTTAATGAGTTATCTACTGTGTGCCAGGTATATGCCAAGTGCTAGAAAATTTTTTAAATGGCTAAAATAAGGATCATTGTTGTTGAGACATTGTAACCAACTGGTAGGGCAAAGAGACAGGTAAATGAATAATTACAATGCAGGATAACATGTACTGATAGAAGGGTTTATGGAGTACTTTGAGACTGCCAAACGGTTGGGGAAATGCCAGTCCAGCTGGGGACAGGGTCTTGGAAAGCTTCCTAGAGGAGATATTACTAAATCTAAGTTTACAGGGCATATAATAAATTAGCCAGATGGGTCCAAGGGAATGATAATCTTGGCAGAGAAATGATTATATACTTATAGCGAGGGCTGTTAGTTCTCCAGAATACTTATGCATTGTATCAGAATTGTGGTCAGCTTTGAGTAAGAGAAAACTCTGGTATCAGTAGCTTAAGCAAATGAAGGTTTATTTGTTTCACATACTAAATTTGGCGGGAGGTGACTTGACTGCTGGCTTAGGTTCAGTGGCTAATATCAATACTGCCATGTGTCTTCTGAGACTCCATTAGCTTTTCCTTCTTACTGGTTGCCTTATGATTTAAAGGGCTGCAGCTTTGGGTATCATATACATTTTCAGGAATGAAGAAGAGGTCAGAAGAAAGGACACATCTCTGTTAATCAGAAAAGTAAACACATTGCCAATGAACAACTACCCCTCCCCCAAACCAGAAGACTTATCCTTCTGTGTTTTGGTCTTGAAGTGGGCTACATGCACCCCCAACTGCAATACAGGTTTGTATGCAAATATTTAACTCTTCTACCCTCTAGAGTAGAGCAAAGAGAGTGAGTTGGGAACGACCAAGTCAGCCAACCAGTAATATCTACTAAACACATTTTTTCCTCACTTCGTCCTCATAACACTCCCAAAGTAGTAAGAGCTGGTATTATTAGCTCTCTTTATAAAAGAAGAAACTGAGATTTGGAAATCTAGATGATGCCTAAAATCACTGAGTTGTACTTTTATTTAGTGATAACACAGAGAAAAACAAAAGCTAATGCCCAATTTCTAGTTTGACTGAAACATTTTCTCCTAATAATAGGTTTTAGTGGCTATGCTTATGGGATAGATTAAAATTGCCATGATCTGAAAATGATTTATTTGTTTCCTCCTCCTATATGAAATGGCTGAATAGAAAATTAATTAATTAATTAATTAATTAATTAAAGCTAATGTTCATTGTATGCTTATTACACATCAGACTCTCTGCCAAGCACTTTACATATGTCCTCTCATTTCCTCCTTGCACAGTCTGGCTAGGTAGGCTGTTCTGATTTTAGAGATGGCCAACATGGGTGTGAGAAGATACTGACATAACTTGCCCCGGATCACAAAGCTAGCCCATAGCAGAACCAGGATTCAAACCTGAGTTCTCTATAATGCCAGCCTAACGTTCCTCTTGCCTCTTTTCCCTTTAAACTGGCATAACTCTCTCCCTGTTGCTCCATCCAGTGAACGTGCCTTCTCGCTGACATTGGCTAGAGCCCTTAGAGCCACCCCGTGCACTGTTACTCCTTTTAATTTATTTGACACACTCCTGTTTCTTCATTATTGCTTTGTGGACACAGAATCCAGCAACATATTATTTCAAATATCCTGCCATTATGAATGCATTTCCTTTCTTTATCATAGCACTGACCATAACGAATACATTTTATATCTGTGCAGATGTCATTGGTATTTGCGATACTCCATTCTAATTTATGTTGGAAAATGAATACTTAAAGTATTGCCCAGGCTCCCATTACTCCAGAGGAAATGAGGGACAGCCTATGTGTGTGCATATGTTTTTGCATTTATGCAGCAAATAGAATGTTTTGGTCAGAATGAATTGTGTGCCTGAAGTGAGAGTCTGGTCCTTTCCTGGAAGGACACAGTGGAGGTAATTTGCTGTGCATATCAGCAAACTTGTACAAGCAGGTTTCTTTGTGAATGGACCTTTGGGCAGAGTCAATGGGTAGAGATTATAGTCAGATTTCATTAGCAAGGGAAAGCCTTGCTGATTGAGGGATCAGCTTTTAGGGTACCCCAAAATGATCTTGCCTTTATGTGCACAGCCAGCAAGGTTGCTGATGTGCTTGGTTCCAGTAATCACCCTGTCAGTCAGCCACACACTGGTGTAGCCTTTTTGAGGTTGAAGGTAAATAGTTAGACAGAGGCCCACTGGAGAGCAGAATGTGCTCAATTTGGGATTAGTGATGTGAACTGATATTTATGGCAAGAGTCTGTCTGTGAAGTAGAGAGATGATAAAGAGTCTGAAATGCCAGATGGTGGGAGAATGCAGATCCTTTGTGGAGAGGCTGGGGTACTCAGCTATCCAAGAAATGGCTTTCCCCGCGTTTGAAAAGATAAGTGGGGCCATAGTGCTCTAGACGTTTAGCCTATCTTCTACAGGGGATTCTTGGGGTGCTATCTTATTAGATATGTCTATACCAAACGTATCCTTCTCAAGGCTCGGGATCTCAGCAGTTAACGGTATCTGGAAAGTAACCTATAAGATCCATTACTATGAATCCTAATTCAAGGGCTCTGGAAATTAAAAAGAAGACAATGTGGTGGTTTATAGAATGTGAGAGTATCCTACTAAATTTCTCTAAAATTCTATATTTTTATGCCACATCTATTTCATCTAAATCTTTTAAATATGTAGGAGTTGCCCCTTAATAAAAGTTGGCTACAAAGATTAGGATTACTGACTCAGTAATTACAAGGCAAATTAAAGAAGTAATAGAGTTTGCAAACTGAATTAAGAATGGGTATGTCTTTGTGTACATATGAATGTGTACGTGCTCACACACATATGCAATGTACACATATATCAGTGAGCCTGGAAATGTTCAGTTTGTTTAATAAAAAAGAGCAAGACCCTTTCTAAAATGTGGCTTGGAAGAGAGCAAAATGTCTCTCTACAGCTCTAAATGATCTTCAATCTCAACAGCTTTTTTATTATTGAAAAATCTGTAATAAAAAAGGCTGTGGAATTTTAATTATCTGTTTTTTTCTGTTTCACAGGGAGTGTTTTCCCCTCTGAGTCTCAGTCTAGAGCCTTAATTTTGCATAATGCAGCACCTGACCCTCCTGTCAATTCTGAAAAACAGACTTGAAAGAACTAGCTTTCCAAATATACCTAGAAATATAAGCCAATAAGACCAGTGCATTGCTTCCTTCATGCCAAACCCTGCTAACTCTTGTCCTATACTGGAAAGTTTACTATTTTACAGGAAATTATGTAGAACCAAATTCACTGTTTGGGGGATTAGTTAAAATGCAAATGAATCTAGATCTGAGTTGAATCTCTGAGCCTCATATTCTCTATTATTGCAAATTCAAATGGCAATAATGCTTCCTGTATTTGCTAAAAGGAAATAGCAAGAGGCAAACACTTTTAGCCCTCTGCATACCTGGGCAGTCTGCCCCACTGCCCACCCCTTTCCCCAAGGCCAGTGATTGGAAGCACATTTTACTTTCTCCCTGGGGAGGGTTAGTCTTGCTTCAACATAAAAAGCCTTTCTGAAGAGGATGCAGAAGTGAGGATGGAGATAGAAGCTGTCTATTGCAACACAGATGATTTAGTTGCCATCTGAGCAGCTTTGTGTCAGAAGTGCAGGAGACTAAAACCTGAGAAGAACCTCTAGGTCTCTGTGCCCCTGTTAGGGTCAAAATGAGTAGCTGGGATGAGGACCCAGCATCAGCCTAATTCTCCTGTTTGCTTCTATCTGCTCAATTAAGCTGGCAGACAAGCCTGGGAACCAGCCCAAACTGCTCTCCTGAGGAGCTGCCCATCAAAGAGAGTTCCTGTAACAAATGTGCCTTCAGGGGCCTGTAGAACAAGAAGCAAAGCTACCTCCATTCATTCACCCTACACTTGTCTTTAGACTTTTAAAATGCTCAAGGTTCTTACCATATGTATATATAGTATAAGTTTCTAGTCTCTAAATAGCTGTACTTACAGTCTAAGGTGATTATAAACAGCAAGGAAAGGGACCAGCCCGAGATGATATGGCTCTCTCTTTCCTGAACTCAAGCTGTTCGTTTCCACTTCCATTTTTTTATTATAGTTGTTCTTAGCCGTGAAACAAATTCAAGATTTTAAAAATTATTTCCAATAGTAAATAGCAGCTGCTGAATGAGAACAAGTTGGTACTAAACCTATGTATTTTTCAAAATTATTTCTGAGATAAAACAGAAATTGCAGTGGTAGCTATTATTTATAAAGTATTTATGTTGTGTCACATACAATATTAAGGACCTTAATAAGATATCTTATTTAGTGTCACGGCTACTCTATTACATAGGTTTTATTGGACCCATGTTACAGATAAGTTGCTAAACTCAGAGAGGAAAGCGACTTTTGCAAGGTTACATTATCCACTTATCTCGTTTCCCAGTCCTTCCCTTCTAGATGGTTGTTGAAAACTAGAAGACTGATGGAAGATTCCGTCAAAGAGACTCCATCAGCCCACTTAAAATAGACAGGTTACTCTTCCTTTAATCAGATAGACAGGAAAGGCCACCATGCCCTAGAGACCACCCACACTTGTACCTAATTAACCCAGGAGTAAAAGCCATCAAGACAGGCAAGTCAGAATGATGCAGACTTGGTAGGATTCAAGGCCCAGTTCAACATTCTTTTTGGTAGGAAGAACATTAGCTTTGCTACAAATGTGGTCAAGTGACTGACTTCTCAGAACCTTAGTTTCCACATCTAAAAGAGGAATCATAATGTCTTCTTCACAGTTACGCAGTGCAAATTTGACAAGAGATTATATATAAGTACCCATTGTAATACATGCTCATTGAACAATTGTTTTAAAATACATAATTGCTTGGTGGGAGTGTAGACTGGTGCAGCCACTGTGGAAAGCAGTGTGGAATTACCTCAAAAAAAAGGAACTGCCTCATGGCCCAGCAATTTCACTTTGGGGAATATATCCGAAGAAACCCAGACACTAATCTGAAAGAATATATGATGGACTCCTATGTACATTGCAGTGTTATTTACAGTAGCCAAGATTTGGAAGCAGTCCAAGTGCCCATTAGTAGATGAGTGGATAAAAAGGCTGTGCTACATTTACACAATGGAATACTACTCAGGTGTAAAAAAAAAAAAAAGGAAATCTTACCTTTTGCGGCAGCATGGCTGGACCTGGCAAGTATTTTGCTAAGTGAAATAAGCCAATCAGAGAAAGACCATATGATTTCACTTATATGTAGAATCTAATGAACAAAATAACAAACAAAATAGAAACAAACTCATAGTTACAGAGAACAGACTAACAGCTGTCAGAGAGGAGGGGAGTTGGGAACTGGATGAAAAGATGAAGGAATTAAGCAAAAAACTCATAGACACAGGCAACAGTATGGTGATTACCAGAAGGGGAGGGGAGTGGGGGGAGATAGAACAGGATAAAGGGGATAAAATGGTGATGGAAGGAGACTTGAGGGGTGAGCACATAATGCAATATACAGATGATGTGTTACAGAATTGTACACATGAAATCTATATAATTTTATGAGCCAATGTCACCCCAATAAATTCAATAAAAATAAAATACATAATTGTTTAATATATCATTTTACTCTGTGTTAGCAAAAGTTTTTCCAGACACCCTGAAGTGTTTTGGCCACAGCAGGAGAGTGGTTGAAAGATACAGTGTTCTGCAGTTTCCCCAAGGCAGGTCCATTTTTTAGAATCATCTTTGCTTTTTATGGCCTGTTTTTGCCTCTAAGGTAGGAGGTGGGCTGATGCTTTCTCTTCTGCCCTTCCTGGCCTATGGCTCTCCCCAAAGTATTCTCTCACCTCCCTTTTGTGATTTCCTTAAGTCCTTTTAATGGTTGCTTGACACTGGACAGATATTCCCAGCAGGCACTCAGTCTGTAATCGAGCTTGTTGTTTGATGTGAACTCCTGGCTGACCTCTGGGAGAGCAGTGGGACTGGAGGAGGAAGTCAGGCCCTGCTTTAGAAAGCGAGATGGTGGGTCCCTGCACAGCTGGCAGACAGCTGAAGGAGTAGCCCCAAAGACTGCTTTCACACCTTCTGCACCTCCTCCTGTGTAATAGGCAGAGGATTACGATATGGGTGAACTCCAGCATTCTTAAGCAACACCAACCAGAAGCAAAACAAAACAAAAACAAAGAT